GGCTATGGTGCTGCTGTTAATCACAATCACAGAGGCAACAGGACCAGGAGGAGGAGAAACCCATTTTCACTTGTCAGAACCCCCATTTCCACTTGTCAGAACCCCCATTTTCACTCGTATTCTCCCCAAACACACAGACTGCAGGGCATGAGCTTGCAGGGAGTGTAACTTCAGCTGGGCATGGACTGGTTTATCAGCCAGTGCCAGGCTGTTTTGGATCTGAGCAGCCTGTCTGGACACAAAACACCCTGTAGTTCAATATTTGCCTTCCGAACCACCCCAATTTCTCAATCAGCTGCTCCAGGCTCAGACACTGGACGCTGCAACTAAACCAAGGTGCGCCTAAATCACAGCAGAGCTAATCCTAAATCTTGCTACAGAGGTACCAAAATGAGCCCTTGTAATTACCACATGGACTTCCACAACATGGAACCACAGAATCCTAGAAGGGTTTGGGTTGGAAGGACCTGCAGAACTCACCCAGCTCCACCCCGTGCCATGGGCAGGGACTCCTTCCACTGTCCCAGGGTGCTCCAAGCCCTGTCCAACCTGGTCTGGGACACTTCTGCTCTCTGGGCAACCTATGCCAGTGCCTCACCACCCTCTCAGGAACAATTCCTTCCCAACATCTACCCTGAATGTCCCCCCTTTTCAGTGTGAAGCCATTCTCCCATCAGGGCAGCTCCCAATGAAGAATCCCTGTATGGTTTCCTTGCAGCCCCAGTCAGACATGGGAAGGCTGATTTCCACGTGGCCTTCACACAACTTCCTCTTCTTCAGGCTGACTACCCCCACCTTCTCAGCCTGTCAAACTGTGGTTTTGGTGACCTTTGATGAGACCAAAGTGCCTTTAGAGATGGATACACAGCCTGGCCATCCAGGGTCCCTTCACAGCCACAGGGACCCTCTGGCTGAGGTTGTTCCCTGGAATCTGCATCACTGTCCCCACACCTCCCCTGTGCTCACCACACAGCGCCAGCACCTTCATTTTAATTTAGTCTGTGAGGCCCTATACAATACAGCAAAGCCCATTTTCTTCAAAGCCAGTTCAGTTCGGCTTCCTGATTTTGGGGAGAATAATTTTAAACAAGGATCAACTTTATCCCTTCAAGGCATGCTCAAAAGGATCACACCAAAGTGCCCAGGCATCCACCCCATCCTGTGACCACTGCATCATGTGCCTGCTCTGCTCTCACCATTCAGAAATGAGCTAGAAATCACAGAATGGCTGGGGTTGGAAGGGACCTTAAAAATCACCATGGTTCCAGCTCCCAAGGAACCCTACCAACCATCTTCCCCTTCCCTTCCTCAATGTAACCTTTGCTATTCAATACATTGTTAATTAAAAGTATCCAGTACATTGTTAATTAGAAGCATCCAGATTCCTCTCTGACTGAGGCTCCAGAGCAAGCATTCCCAAAGTACTCATTACTAGCATGAGTGATTTTAAACCATTCACACATGCAGGAATTTTTCTTGCGGGTAACTTTATACCTCCAAATCGCTAAAAATAATTTAGAGTGAACCGCAGCAATATAGTGTTTCCCTGAGCAACCTGTTCCAGTGAAAGGTGCTCCTGCCCATGGCAGGGGGCTGCACTTCTTGCCAGCAGATCAAATGCTGCTCTCTCAAGTCCCCTGGTCCCACTGAAGCACCCTAGGCAGGAATTTGTCCTTATGCTTCTCCTTGGGCAAGTCAAGCAAGGAGGCTGGGGAAGTGCCCACCTCTGCTTAGAAGTGAATGGGAAATCTGGGGAAACAGGATTTTCACTGCAGGAACACCTAAGGCAGCCCTCTGGAGATGAATCAGAATATCTTGCGTTGGAGGGGACCCACAAGGATGGTGGAAGTCCAGCTCCTCATCCTCAGGACCACCAGAGGATGCCAAACCCCCTCTGAAGGCAGAGACCTGCTCAGTAACAATGAAGCTGAAGGTGAGCAGGGGCAAGGTGCTGGATGCTTTGAGGTTAACAGCGACTGGAAGGTGCTTACTGCACATTATACAGAAATACTGGAGCACCAAGCTTCCATCTGGCTTTAACATTCCCAGTTTCTTCCCTCGGACCAGGAAGTGAATCCCAGCATTCCACCTCTCTCCTTCAAAAGGAGCATCGTCGCATCTCACCCAGCCAAGTCCCCTCAAAAGACATTGCCAAGAATATCATGGTCTGCTCTGACCCTTCCTCTCCCTCTTTTGGGACCCATGAGATAAACCTGCATCCCCAGCCTTCCCCTGGAGCAGGCCAGCACCCACTTACCAAA